AGGGTTGTCCCTGTGCAAGGCAAGCATCCTACCCACTGTACTATTGCACCAGCCCTAACAATACTTTTTTCAGTCTGCTTATTTCAATTTGCTTTTCCTTTTCCAGTTTCCTAAGGTGGAAACTTAGATTACTGAACTTAGGTCTTTTTTCTTTCTAATAACATGCATCGAATGCTATAAAATTCTCAAGTTATTTTTTATACATCCCTTTTGTGGGGCGGGGCAAACCTGTCAAGATCAGGGCTTACTCCTTGCTCTGCACTCAGGGATCATTCTTGGTGGTGCTTGGGAACTTTATGGAGTGCTGGGGATCAAATCTGGGTTTGCATGGAAAGCATCCTATCTGCTGTACTATTGCATTCCACTTTTGATAAGATATATTTTAATGTTAAAATTTCTGAGATTTTTGTTCACTTGAGTGACAGACACGTTGATTCTTTATATCACTTGGTCCTTCTAAGTACTGCAGGGCAGAATATTGCAGTCTGGTTCACATAACTGTGCTAAATATCCAGTCTCAGCCCTCGGCACTGCCTGGGAATTCTGCAGCTAAGATTTTGGAGCAGATTTCTATCGTGATGAAATCTATTATCTAATCTATAATAAATGATCCTTTAATAGATTTCCACGATAAATTTTAATGTTTTCAGACACAGTACTATATGTCACAACATTTTATTATTTTTTATTTTACATCAGGATTATGAAAACTTCATAGAAATAGATGGAGACCCTATTGCTTCATTATAGATTAGAAAATCCTTTGCACATTTGATAACTAAGCAATTTAGCCTGGTGATTATTTTTGTGGGTTTTTTTGTGGGGAGGCCCACACCCAGCAGCGCTCATGGCTTACTCTTGGCTCAACACTCAGGAAATCACTCTTGGTGGTACTTAGGGGATTATATGGGGTTCCTGGGATTGAACACAGGTTGGTTTGTGCCAAGACAAGCACCTTCCCCACTGTACTATTACTCAAATCCCAGTGATCATTTTGTTTTGGGGTCAGGTCTGAGTGCTCAGGGGCTCCTCTTAGCTCAGTGTGCAGGGGTTGCTCTTGGCCATACTCAGGGCACCATATGGTACAGGGGACTGAAACTCAACCTCCCACAAGCAAAGCATGTACTCCAGTCTGTGAGCTCTTTCTAGCTCCTTGCCTTTTATTTTTATTGGTAGCTTCCTATATTTGGATTTGGCTGTTATTTGAAATCCTGGGTTTTGAACATTTAATCCATGAACAATCTGACATTACTTATGAATCTGTATGTTTGCTGAGCTACAGATTTAAACACATATTTGAATACCAACCCTCATGTTTTTCTTCTTCTTGTGGTTTTCACTTTCATCCATATAAACATTACAATTCAGGACTGTTCTTTAATTATGTTCTTTGGAGAAGTATATTTGTATTATTATTGCCTAACATGCTTTTTTTCCCCATTCTGAAAAACAATGAAATCTAAAATAATCTTTTTTTGAAGATTACTATTTCCCATCTTTCTCTGCTTTGCACAAATGTTTTTTTCTCTCTTGGGGGGGCAGTAATGGAGTCAATTTCACAAATACCATTGGGCTGTATTCAGTTTTTGATGGGGTTTTGGGGACTTGGACCACACAGTAGTGCTCAAGGTTTATTCCTGGTTCTGTTCTCAGAAGTGACTCCTGGCAGGACTCAGGAGACCAAATTGGTGCAGGGAATTTGAACTGGGATTGGCAGAATGCAAAACAAGTACCTCAACCTACTATCTCCTGTTCCCTTATGAATTTTTTAAACAAGTATGGTTTTGATTTTATTATGAATATTTTTATTTAATTAAGGTGTTTAAGATGGAGTGTCCTTTCCACAAATAATAAAATGTCAATTTTGATGTTAATATTTGATAAATTCTGCTAAGCACATGCTATTTGCTAGTAAAAGTTTCTTCACTTTACATTTATTAAATTCTAATAGTAATCTACTAGAGTATATATATATACTTACACAAAAAAATTACAACACAGCACTTTTTCTACAAGTTCTTACATAATTGGTTAACTAGGTCACGGTCTGTCACGGTCCTCCCATTGTTCATCGATTTGCTCGAGCGGGTCCAGTAACGTCTCCATCGTGAGACTTGTTACTGTGTTTGGCATATCAAATACGTCACGGGTAGCTTGCCAGGCTTTGCTGTGCAGGCGAGATACTCTCAGTAGCTTGCTGGGCTCTCCGAGAGGGGTGGAGGAATCAAACCCGGCTTGGTCGGGCTGGCTGTGCGCAAGGCAAACAGCCTACCGCTGTGCTATCGCTACTGCCCGGTTATCTAGGTACACACGCTCAAATAAAAAAAAATTTTTTATAGCTGTGCTATGACTGAACTTCAGATCTCAGGCATGCAAGGTGTATACTTTACCACTGAGTCACATTCTTAGCAGTAAAATGTTTTCTCAAAAGATCTGGAAGCGATAGCACAGCAATAGCACAGCGGTAGGGCGTTTGCCCAACATGGCCGACCCGAGTTCGATTCCTCCGCCGCCCCTCTCGGAGAGCCCGGGAAGCTACCGAGAGTATCTCGCTCGCACGGCAGAGCCTGGCAAGCTCCCCGTGATGTATTCGATATGCCAGACACAGTAACAACAAAGTCTCCAATGGAGACGTTACTGGGCCCGCTCGAGCAAATCGATGAACAACGAGAGGGCCTTTACCTTTACCTGGAATAAATAGCAAATTGGTATGATTTGATTGCAATCAGGGAATTGGGAGTTATTGGTTACAAGGAAACAATACTTTTTCTTCAAAACATAGAAACATAAGGGCTTTAGGGTCAGAACTGTGTCTTAGTGGTAATGCAGGTGTCCTGCATGAATGAGACCTGCAGAGCCAGGAATAACTCCTGAATAATCTGCAAAACACAAGCCTAAAAAGCATTAGATCTTTTTTTAAAGCCACATTCTGAGTTGCTTCTGTTTCCTATGCAGTGCTTGGATGTCACTCCCAGCAATACTCAAGGAATCATAGGGATCGAATCTAGGCCTCCATCATGCAAAGCCTGGGGTCCAGCTCTCTGAGAAATCTTCCTAGCCCTTAGAACATAAATTTCCTAACAGTGAAGTTTTAGCAGGCACCATGTTTGTCAAATAAAAGTCAACCACTGCAGTTTTTGGTTTTTTGACCACACACCGAGTAATGCTAGGGGAACCATATGGAATACAGGGGATCAAACCCAGGTGAGCTGCATGCAAGGTAAGTGCCCTAACTGCTGTACTCTTTCTGGCCCCAAGGAGAGATTATTTTACATCATTTAAAAAAATAAACATCTAGGTGCTGGAGTGATCTTATTGCAGGCATGGTGTTTGTTTGCCTTGCCCGTGGCAGACCAGGGTTTCATCCTGGTTCGCCTTATGGTTCCCTGAGCACCACTGGGTGTGGTCCAAAAACAAACAAACAAGAATACACGGCCGCGCGCGACATCTTATCAGAATTTTTTATTATGACATCCTATTATCTCATTCCTACTTTGGACAAACTTGCAGGCTATCGAATGTAGCCTGCCCACAGGGCAGAGTCTGGCAAACTCCCCGTGGCGTACCAAATATGCCAAATACCAGTAACAATGATGGGTCTCATTCTCCTTAAGAGCCGTGAATATAATCTCAGGGCTAGGATGAAAGAGACGTTACTGGGGCCTGCTCGAGGCAATCGACGATTAACAGGATGATGAAATGAAAATGAAAAACACATGCCAAAGAATAAACATCTATACTACTTACTAAAGCAGCAGCATAAGCGCAGGCTGTTGTAGGCAAACATATGATTAACCAAAATAAACTCCTGAATACTAGTAATAGTTAGATATCAGATACTGAAAGCAGTGTGTCTGAAAAACCTTACAATCTTTTATTTTTGGTTTGGAGGCCACACCTCGTGATGCTCAGGAGTTACTCCTGGCAGTGCTCCAGGGAACATATGGGGTGTTAGGGATCAAAAACAAGTTGGCAGTGTGCAAGGCAAGAACCTTACCTGCTGTATTATCTTTCTGGCCCACCCATGCATTATTTTTTAAATAACAAAAGTTTTTCTACAAAAATGAGGCCTCCACCATAAACAGTTACAATTCTACAAGGAATTATAACATATATATCACAATTTATACTATTGAGAAAGGCAAAGATATCCAGGTCACAGCAACAGAAAAAGACAGTTCAAAAATATATATACACACAGATGTGCTTGTATATATTAGTATATATAAATACATATTTGATACACACATATACATATATAGGAATGAATGGAGACGTTATTGGTGCCCGCTCGAGCAAATCGATGAGTAACGGGATATTAAGTGATCAAGTATATATATCCAAGAAGGAATAGAAATCAAGAAAGAAGCAACAGTGTAAGGATTAAGGTGCTTACCTTGCATGCAGCCAATCCTGGTTCAATCCCTGACATCACATATGGTACCCAGTGTACTGCCAGGACTCACCCCTGAGCTTAGACCAGGTGTAACCTCTGAGTATCTCCAACTGCAGCTCTGGCCTCCTTACTCCAAAAAGGGAAAGAAGCAATTGCTGAATGTTTTGAGAGAAACTTTCTTGGGGGGAAGCTAATCTTCAACGAATTTAAGTAAACCTGAATTTCCATTTTGTGTTTTTGAGGGATCACATCTGACAGTGTTCAGGGTAGATATGCAGGGTCAGGTAGATCAGGGAAGGTATGTGGCACAATGTATAAAGAACCAGGCTGGCCACAAGTAAGGATTATCCCTTGTATATCTGGCCTAATATTTCCATTTAAAATACATTTAACTTATTTAAGAAGTTATACATAAAACAGACATACTAGAAAACAGTGTTAATGTGTTACAAGTTGAATTATGATGAAGCACCAGTCTCTCATACCTGTGAATGTGCTCCTATATGGAATAAGGTCTTTGAAGATTTTTTAAAAAAATTTTATTGTATAAAGTAGTTCACAATATTTAATTACATTTAATAGTCAAACACTAAACCCACCACCATTACACCTGAAGATCTGCTCAACTTTAAATGAGGTCATTAGTGAAGGCTCTAATTCAGTGACAGATATCTATGTAAGTCAAAACCAGAGATACAGTAAGTGCATTGTGAAAGTGGCAGAGACTGGACTGATATAGCAACAAGAAAAGGAACATCAGAAGTTACTAGATATTATCATAAGCAAGAAGGAAACAGAAAAGATTCTCACATAAGGAACTAATTCAACAACTCTGATTCTGAACTTCAAAACTAAGAATCAATCTATGGTTTTAAGTAACAGTTTTGTGGTATTTTTTATTATTTTGCTACAATAACCCTAAGACACACTATACAGAGGAACTTCACTTATGCATTATCTTTTTTGTTTTTCACAATACCAGGTTTAATCAATATTATAAAGGCTATCAAATAGGTTCAGCATTCATCCAGCATGAATTCCTTCATGGCGAATGAGGTCAGAGCGACTACCAAAGGCCTTTCCACATGCCTTACATTCATAGGGTTTCTCACCTGTGTGAATTCTTTGATGTCTGGTTAGATTTGAGCCTTTATTAAAGGCCTTGCCACATTCATTACATTCATAAGGCTTCTCATCTGTATGGATTCTTTGATGCTGAATAAGTTCTGAGGTCTGAATAAAGGCCTTTCCACATTCTTCACATCCATAAAGTTTCTTGCCAACATGAATTCTGTGATGGTTCGTAAGTGCGGAAGCACTACTGAAGGCCTTCCCACATTCCTTACATTCATAAGGTTTCTCACCAGTATGTATTCTCTGATGCTTAATGAGACTTGAGCGTTGAGCAAATGCTTTTCCACACTCCTTGCACTCATAAGGTTTTTCACCGGTATGAATTCTTAGATGTGGCAAAAGTTGTGAACTCCTAATAAAAGCTTTCCCACATACTTTACATTCATAAGGCTTTTCACCTGTGTGAATTCTCTGATGATCATTTAGGTTTGAAAAATAATTAAAGGCTTTTCCACATTCCTTACATTCGTAGGGTTTCTCACCAGTGTGAGTCTTAAGATGTTGGGAAAAATATGAACTACACCTAAAAGCCTTGCCACATTCCTTACATTCATAAGGTTTTTCTCCAGTGTGAATCCGCTGATGGCGAGTAACAAGTGAGCCACGACTAAATAATTTCCCACACTCCTTACATTCATAGCGTTTTTCAACAACATCATATTTCTGATGTTGAATAAACTTTGAGTTCTGGCTACAGGCCTTTTTGCACATCTTAGACTCAGATTTTTCTTCATTAAAATTTTTTTGATATGGAGTTAGAAATGTGGGCTGAATAAAAGTTGGCATGTCTTTATGGATAAATATTACTTGACTGAAATGTCTCTTTAGAAACAGTATCTTGTTCTCACACAGCGATTTCAGATCTGAAATAAAATAAAAAGACATATGTTAATTTTTTTTTTGTTTTATGGGTCACACCCGGTGATGCACAGGGGTTACTCCTGGCTCTGCACTCAGCAGTTACTCCTGGTGGTGCTCAGGGGACATTTTGGGATGCTGGGAATCGAACCCAGATCGGCTGCATGCAAGGCAAATGCCCTACTTGCTGTGCTATCTCTCCAGCCCTGGCATATATTAATTTTTGATCTGTTGTGGAAGAGGTACAATAGGTGGGATAGGGCAATAAGAAGAGAAAATAGAAGAAATGTGAGTGATTAAGCAACTAAAAGACCTCTATAATCCTGAAATTCTGGTGTGAATCAGGATTACATGGAACTCTGATGACTGCACACTGCTCAGGGCAATTCTCCATATTATACAGTGACTGGTATATATATACTTGTATATCAGCACATACTAACTTATAAAACAGAGTACACTATAAATTGTGTCTGTAAGACCTACATCAAAGGACCACTGAGGAATAAATGTGATGTATAAATGAAGGCTGGGTGGTATCAGTGATTCACATCAGGAACAGCCTGAAGTAAAGTTCAGATGCTGAATAAAGCAGACCAGAATAGTAGACAGATCCCTCCTGTGGTGTAGAACTGTGTTGGGAGTCAATGGAAAACAGTTTACTTTATTTTAGAATTCTGTGGTGATGACCTCGGAAGAAATAAACTGAATCCTTAAGTCATGTCAGTGACTGGGAAGAGGGGCAAATCTGAATGTGAGAAAGAGCAAGAAAACATACTTTGTAAGGAAAGGACTTCACATATCAACAGGTTTTTTTGGCTTGGGGTTGTGTTTTTTTTTTTTGCACTATCAATAACCATGAAAATGCTGTACATAATTATTCAAAGTGAATTCACAAAATAGAATTGTTAGCTTAGGTCAACTTCAGTTTGTACAAGAAGTCATAATTTGTGGGCAGGAGCGATAGTACAAAGTGGAGAGCATCTGCCTTGCATGCAGTTGACATGGGTTCAATTTCCAGCATCCCATATGGTCCCTCAGCCCACCAGGAATGATCCCTGAGCACAGAGCCAGGAATAAGTCCTGAGCATTGCTGAGTGGGGCCCTAAAACAAAACAAAAGGTATAATTTGGGTTAAAAATAAACTTAGGGGGGCTGGAGCGATAGCACAGCAGGTAGGGCGTTTGCCTTGCTCGCAGCCGACCCAGGTTTGATTCTCAGCATCCCATATGGTCCCCTGAGCACCGCCAGGAGTAATTCCTGAGTGCAGAGCTGGAGTGACCCCTGTGCATCTCTGGGTGTGACCCAAAAGCAAAAAAAAAACAACAAACATAGGTACTTAAGAGGCTACTTCTCATTCAGTGTTTAATGGCTGGTCCTGATGGTACTGGGAAACCATGTGTTGCTGGGGATCAAACCAGGGCATTCTGCTTGCTAAGCACTTGGTCCAGCTAGGAGAGCCATCAGCCTCTAGCTATTCATTCTTACATAATGAAACCTCCCACAAAAAACTCAAGGCATGACTGATAAACACTTTCTTGCTGGTGAACATATTTATATGCCAGAAAGTGACACTCAAATGGGCAGAATCTCCTGTGTGGCACACTCCTATACCTTCCTCTACATACCACATACATAAAGCTTTCATGAGTTCTTTGTTCTAATGAATTATCAAGCCGGAGGAAGTATTTATAGTCAGGCAGAAGTACGGATAATCTGGAAATCATGCTTGCAACTACTGTATTAATTAAGAGTGGTTTGTTGGATGATTTTTTTTTTTTGGTCCCATATGGTCTCCTGAGCATTTCCAGGAGTAACCCCCTGAGCTTTGCTGGGTATGGCAAAAAAAAAAAAGACAAGACATACCAGAAAACAAACATATCAGCCAAACTGTGAAAGTATTCCTTTTTTTTAATAACTGATTTACAAAGTTACCGATAAACTGAGTTTTAGGCATATAATAGTCAACACATATCCCTCTACCAGTATTCCCATATTTCCTCTCCTACCCTAACCCCTGCCATATCCCCATCTGTCAATATGACAAGCACCTAACAAAGCTTCAGTCCTTTCAAGTTTAGATCTCATGATTTCAGTTTTGCTGAGTCTGCGATTTGGTGTATGGCTATACCACTCACCCATATCTCCAGTATAACTGAAGTTCTAGTGCATGTTCACCCAGTATTTCTTGGTCTCTTTTTTCCCAACGTGATTTCTTTCCTTCTTTGTCCTTCTTCTCTCTAAACACTGGGATTAAGAGTGATCTAGGTATTCCCTTCTTTTACTACAATATATTTCCTCATCCAGTATTCTATATACCACAAGTTGAGATCATCCTGTGTTTGTCTTTCTTCTTCTGGTACTTAACTCAACGTATCTTCTAGTTCCAACCAGGTTGCAGCAAATTGCACGGTATCATTGTTCCTTGCAGCTGCACTGTGTATATATACCACGATGAAGTGTTCCAATTTTAAGATTGTTTTTTGACTTCTTACAAGGACCCATCTATAATACAGAAACTAAAACTACAGCAAGAGGCCGGAGCGATAGTACAACGGGTAGGGCATTTGCCTTGCACGCTGACCCAGGTTCAATCCCTGGCATCCCATATGATCCCCCAGCACTGCCTGGAGTAATTCCTGAGTGCAGAGTCAGGAGTAACCCCTCAGCATCATTGGGTGTGACCCAAAAAAGCTAAAAAATAAATAAATAAAACTACAGTAAGTGCTAGAAGAAGGGGTATCATGTAAATAGTTTTTAATAAAATAGGCAACAGCCAGACAAAAACCAAAACAACAATGATGTATACTGGTAAACAATAGACACACGCATTCATAGAATAATATAAATTTATTTTCTCTTATAATTTTCTTTTTGTTGTTGGTATTTTGTTTGCTTTTTTTTATCTTGGGATGCCAACCTGCAAAGCATGTTCTCAGTACATGGTGCTCTCTCTCTTGCCCCTCTTATGATTCTCTCTCCCCCCTTCTCTTCTCTCTCTCTCTCTCTCTCTCTCTCTCTCTCTCTCTGGGCCACACCGAGCAGTGCTCAGGGTTCACTCCTGATGTGACACAGGAGATAGTATATGGTGCTGAGGATTAAACCCAGGTCAATGGTGAGCAAGGCAAGCGCCCTTTCCTGCTGTATCATCGCTCTGTGCCCTAACTATTGCATTTAAAATTATAAAAACCAAGTAAATATGTGAATCCATTTATTCCAAATAAATAAACAGCAGGTATATGCATGATGTTGGGACTTTTCTCCAAAGAGTAGATTCCAGGATCCTAAAATCAAATGACCTATCTTTAGCTAGTGAGAACTTTCAGGAAGAAGAAAGCAGAAAGGAAACTACACATTCCTTGGGCACAACTTGTAGAAGTTCATCATTCATCCTTCCCCTCTGTTCCACAGTCATCACAGTGAGGAGGAAAGACCTGGGATAGGAAATGTAGCTGTGATAGAAAATAGCAAGTTTAGCATAACATGGGGCCCCCATAACCATGCCACTGGACTCTGCACCAGGCTGTTTTAACTTGGGGCACCCGAGAGGGGGGTGGGTGAGAGCCCTCCCTGCCCCAAGTGACCCAGCCCCAGCAGCCTACCTCCACAACCCAACTGCCACCATACTCCAGGTGCTCCTCACACGCTCCGGTCGAGCCTCACATATGAGTGAACATAAACCTGGACTGACACATCATAAGATACTCCCTACCCATTCTCCATAATTATCACACCATATTTCATTGGGTTCAGACAGTAGGCAACAAATCATGGAGGGAAATATATATATACATATATATGCATATATACATATTTTCAGATACCAAAGCTCACATCACCCAAACTTCAACATGTTAGTGATATCCTATAGAATGTCTTAATGGCTCCTGCCCCAATAGAACAACTTTTACACTGTTTCCTATAAGAACACTTTTTTGTAAGCATGTTCAGCAGTTCTTCATAACCGACAATACAAAATATATTCTTTCAGTTGTGTTTTGGGACAGAAACATCCCAAATTTGGTGTTGGGAAAGTGTAATGATGGTGGGATTTGTGTTTGAATATTAAATGTAATCAAATATTGTGAACTTATAAAATAAAAACATTTAAAAAAAAGAAAAAGAACATAGCAGGTTTTCACTGTGGCCCAAACTGGGCAGATCCAAGATCAACCGACCCCAACCAGGCACCAGCACCAGACTGGATGGAGATGGGTGGAGACCTTGAGCCTCAGAGAAAGGCTGAGGGAACCGCAGTTGTATTTTTGTTTTGGGGGACCACAAACGGTAATGCTCAGGACTTACTCCTGGCTCTGCACTCAGGAATCACTATTGGCTGGGCTCAGGGGACCAGATGGGATGCCGAGGGTCGAACTTGGGTAGGCTGTGTGCAAGGCACACACCTACCGGCTATCCTATCGCTCTGGCCCCAGTAGGCTATAGCCTGACCAATACCAGGAAGTTTTCCTGGGGACCGAGTTCTAGAACCTATAATGTTCTAGAAGGACACAGCTAGCAGGAGCCCTATGCCCGCACAATGCCACCAACACTACGCAGTCTTAAACCCAGGGCTACGCCAGACCCGTGCACAATCACGCGCGGCAATGAAATCACATACCACGAAGCCCCCACACTAAAGTGTCGCAGTCACAATCATACCCACGAACTGCCACGGTCGCGGGCCCCAAAATGACAGTGATCCTGGGTCGCAGTGTCACCATCGCTCACAATCCCACAACCGCCCTTTTCAGGCCGCCCCACCCGCACAGGTCCTCGGCCCCAGCTGCGAACTTACCGATCTTCAGTCCCCTCAGCTCCGGCTTCTCGGGTGTCCCGGGGTCGAGACGCGAAATCCGCGGCCGCTTCCCTTTCCCCCGGGTACAACCAGGTCTAACCTCCCGGACCTAACGGTCCCGCCAGGCATAACAAAACGTACGAGTTCCTGCGAGAAGCGAGTCGGGCCAGAGGGCACGCTGGGAAATGTAGTCCAGAGCGGGACCCACGGCCGAGTCCCCTTAACGCCGTGTGACTATGCCTCCAAACGACCGCGCCTGCAGCTCAGGGTCCGGCGGGTCCCATCAGAGTCGCAAGTAGCGTCAGACAGCTCGCTAACGCTCGATCTGCGTCTCCCGCGCGGACCGGGCCGCTCACCATCTCTGGACCGGAAATACAGTGTCCGCGCCGGAAGTCGGTTGAGCCGCGGGGCTCCCTGGGAGACGGTGTTGTATTCTGCGACTTCCGTTGGTAGGCGGGCGCGGAGTTGTAGGTGTGTGGCGTTCTGGCGGCCCGCCTGGCCCTCTCTGCGGGTCGCCTTCCCCCGACCTCCCAGAAAGAGCGCGCGCTGGATGCGCTTTCTAGGCGTTTCCGGCAGGTGACGCTGCCGCGTCCCTTTAAAGCGGGGTCTGGGGCTAGGGGTGGGGCGCGCTCGAGCCCGTGCTGGGACGAGTTCTCTGAGGAGGCCCCGGGGTGGCCCGAGGGGCTGCAGTGCGCGGTGTTGTGGTGGGAGTAAGTTTCTGGAGGGCAATGGGAGTTAATGTATGTGATGTGTAATGCAGTTTGAGGTTGCGATTCAAAGAGAGAGAGTGAGAGAGAGTGAGTACTAGGACAGTGAGATAGTGACCTGTGATTGTGTGATCCCATGGACTTGTGGTCCTCATCATTTTCATGTCTGGGGAGGTGTTAATAGGGGTGATAACATGGGAGTGATTCTTGTCTTACTGACTTGGCTACTATGTAGCACTTAGTATACTGGTAACTGACAAAACTACCCTGAATTTTCTTCCAAGTTGTTCTCCCCACCCTGGCCACCCTTGAGTTTCCTTTGCTGCTATACCCCGCACCCTCACCCAAGAGATCTGGTTTCCAGTTTTCTTTGGTTAAATTTCTTTTCTAGGTTTATTATCCCTGCTTCTCTGGTGATATCTGTTAGCTAGTCATTGTATGCCATGAATCCTCATGCTGCCTAAGAAATCACCCTAGGCTCAAAGGTGGAGCACAAGTATTTATTCTCGTGTTCCCAGGTTTTCAGATTCACTGTGTTCAGTTCTACTTAGTCTGACCTTGGCCAGAATTCCTGCCTGCTCCACATGTGTATATGTAAAATGCCAGATTATTTACAGATTATACCCTTAAAACCTCTGCACCTAAATATACCAATTAGCCTAAGCAAATATCATATTAAGAATATTCACTACACCCACAGTTCAAGGCTAGACAAAGTTAGATGGCAAAAAATGTGGCTGATATAATATTTTTGGTGTGAAGCATTGGGGCTGGGGCCAAGATTCTTCCTTACCATTTAAGATATATTCCTCTTTGTCCTGGCATATGCTTTTGAGTTCAAGCTCTCTCATTGCCCATGATTTTTCAGGTCTTGTTATTTTTGTTTGTTTGGGGGCCATACCAACTGGGTTGGCACTCAGGAATCCCTCCTGGCTGGTTCAGAGGATCATGTAGGATGCTGGAGATCAAACCCAGGTTGGCGGCATGCATGACAAACAAACTACCCACTGTACTATCACTCTAGGCCCAGATTTTGTTATTTTATTTTCCAGGAATTTCATCTGTTCATCCTTTTTTATGACTTTTTGTTTCAGGTCTGCCCCCTGTAAAGAACATATTATTACTGAATTTTCTGTCCTGTTATCCTGTATGATGGTTATTCTGAAAGGTAAGTTGGATTCATTTTTATTTATTGTGATTGCTGTTTATTTTATTTCTTAGTTATTATGCACTTTTGTGGGGGTTGTTTTCAGCAGGGAGGTGGGGGTACATCTGGCAATGCTCAAGGCTAACTCCTGGCTCTGAACTCATGGATAACTCCTTGTGCGCTCCAGGGACCATATGGGTGACAGGAATTAAACCTGTTTTAGACACGTGAAGACAAGTACCCTACCCACTCTTTTACCTCTCCAGCCCTGAAATAATCATAATAATTTTATAGAGCCCAGAAAAAAATATTTTAGTGATTTTGAGTGCCTATTTTCACATTATTATGCCTCTATTGCTACCACCCATCCATATAATTCCATTTTGCATAAATTTTTGCATAAAATTCCATTTTGAATAAAAATTCTATCACTTAATCACTTATAATCACTTAATCCCCGTTATTCATCGATTTATTCGAGCGGGTGCCAGTAATGTCTCCATTCATCCCGGTTGCGTGCTAGCGTAGCCCAATGGTATCTGTTCGTTCTAGGAACATGCAGAGCCTCAAACCGATCATTCAGGGTCTTGACGAAGAAGTCTGACCATCTTATAGGTGGGCGTCCACGTGATCTTTTGATGTCCCGTGGAATCCAATCAGTAATGGCTCTAGTCCAGTGGTTGTCTGTAAACCTCATTACGTGTCCAGCCCATCTGATTTTTGATGTCTTGGCAAATGAGACAGCGTCCCTGATTCTTGAGCGTTGACGAAGATCAGAACTCCGGATTCTATCTCTCATTTGAGTGAATCGTGATATTCCAAGCATAGTTCTTTCGATTCCTCTTTGAGAGACCCGAATAGCGTTCTCATCCTGTTTTCATAGGGTCCAGGTCTCTGAGGCATATGTTAATGCAGGAAGAATAGTGGAATCAAAGAGATGTGCTCGTAGTTGGAGGTTCTTTGTCCTTTTAGTTATTTCTTCAATGCTCTTGAAGGCATTCCAAGCCGCTCTCTTCCTCCTGCGCAACTCAGGTGCCAGGTCATTCATCATGTTGATTTCTCGACCTAGGTATATATAACTGTTGCATTCGGAGATGGTGGTTCCGTTGAGAGCGAATGGAGCGTCAGGAACAAGGCTGTTTCTCATAAACATTGTCTTCGTAAGATTCAGCTGTAGTCCGACCTTTCCACACTCACAGTCGAAGTCGGTCAGCATTTGTGCCGCTTGGCTGATGTTTGGTGTTATTAGAACGATGTCATCAGCAAAGCGGAGGTGGTGTAGTTGTCGACCATCTATCTTCACTCCCATGTTTTCCCATTCCAGTCGTCGCATGATGTTCTTGAGGGTGGCACTGAAGAGTTTTGGTGAAATGGTATCACCCTGCCGAACCCTTCTCTTGATATGGATGATTACTTCTTTGTAGAATGGTGAGATCTTGGTAGTGAATCCGCAGTAGAGCTCACGAAGGATCCTGATGTATTGAGTTTGTACGCCCTGATTGGCTAGGGCTTCCATGACCGCTTCTGTCTCAACAGAATCAAAGGCCTTCTTTAAATCAATGAACGTTAGACAGAGCGGCATCTTGAACTCCCGAGATACCTCAATGAGCTTGGTTATTGTGTGGATATGGTCGATGGTACTGAATCCTTTTCGGAATCCAGCTTGTTCACATGGTTGTCCTTCATCTAGTGTTCTGGTAATCCTATTCAGGATGACTCGAGTGAATAGTTTGTAGATGACAGACAATAGGCAGATTGGGCGATAGTTGCCAATGTCGTGGATGTCTCCTTTCTTGTATAGTAGTACAGTCCTGCTGGTTTTCCATTGGGATGGAACCTTGCATTCAGACAGGTAGCGTGTGAAGAGTCGAGCCAATGTATTGATGAGTACTGATGGTAAGTTCTTCAGGTGTTCAGGTCTGATCTTGTCTGGGCCAGGTGCTCTTTGTTTCTTTACCGACGAGATGGCATGTTGGATTTCGGAAGGGAGAACATTGGGAACGACATATCCATCATGTGGTATGTGGTATGTGGGCAAGTGGATGTGGCTATTAAAGAGATCTGAGTAGAAGTCATGAATAATCTTCTCCATTGCCCTTCTGGAAGATGTGATAGATCCATCATGATGTCGGAGGGCAGTCATCTTGGTTTTGTAGTTGGTGAAGGACAGGTGGGCATTACGAATGTTTTTTCCAGCTTCTGCTGCATCTACCAGTACTGCTGCTCTCCTGTTTTTGAGGTCATCCTTGATGGCTTCTCTGCACTGTTTTGCCAGTTTGGATGTTCGCTTGTGGTTGCCTGAGGCACGTGCCAAGCCACGTTGGCGAATAAGTTCAAGAGTGTTCGAGGAAAGACGGTTTTTTGTGGTTATCTCTCTCTTGGCATTCCTTGCACAATCATGGAGGTGCTGAATCATTCGATCGTATTCCTCATCAATGTTGTCAATGACGGCATCTTCCCATGTTGCCACAATAGAGCCAAAGAGCTCCCAGTTGGTGGTTGTTCTGGGAGTCCTCTTCTTAAACCTTGCATTCTTTTCTCCTCGTTCTGTGAGGTAGAATTTTGCACGAAGAAGACGGTGGTCTGATCCCGTTTGGAATTTTGGGACAACAGCAACATCGGTTAGGCAAAACCGCCGATTGAATATGATGTGGTCTATTTCATTGTGGAACCGTCCATCGGGAGACTCCCATGTCCAACGTTTACATTCAGCCTTTTGGAATTGTGAGTTACCATGGAAGGTTTTGGTTGACATGATGAACTCAGACAGTCTGTCGCCCTGTTCGTTCCATTCCAGGCCATGGTTTCCGATGTGGAGTTCATCGACTGATCTTCTTGGTCCTATCTTGGCATTAAAATCACCGACAATGATCTTGTAGAAGGTGTGATCTTCTTTATAGAACTTCTCCAGCTCCATGTAGAATTTCTCAGTTTCTCTTTCACCATAACTGGATGCTGGTGCATAGACAACAAAGATAGAAACTGCCGGTAGTGAGCCACATTTATTCAAGTGTAATTGTCCGATTCAGGTTGTTAGGCATTCGAATGAATCAATGCTCGTGACTAAGTTTGTGTTGACAAGGATACCGACACCACCGACGCCTCTTTTATCACATGTTCCAAGGAACAGTTCTTCTCCAGTGTCGAAAACAGCATGATGGGATTGATGTCTTCTCGTTTCGGTCAGACCAATGATGTCGTACTTGATCTTTCGCGCTTGTAACATAAGGTCTTCAATGGATGCAGCAGATGCCAGTGTACGAGCATTAAAAGTACAGACAATCATTTTTGTTTTTCTGCGTTTTGGCCTTGGTGTCTGCCTTGGTGTTTTATTAGCCTCTCCTTCCATATCCTTCTCGACTCTGCATATTCAGGGTTAGGGAAATGAGATACATTTATTACTGGATTTGGCATATCAATTTGGTCTATTTGGCATAGACCACGGATAGTTTGCCAGGCTCTGCCGTGCGGGTTGGATATTTAAGGTACCCTGAAAACTTAGAGAAAAGTAAATAAATAGTCATGTGGCCGCGCGCTCCCGGGAGCTTGTTGTGATAATCTCTGGATCCTGGCCGTTGTTGGGGTTACACGGCAGTTGGAGGGTGTAACTGTCTAGCTACTGACAGGTCCAGTCCCAAACCGTGCAGGCTTGGAGATCTCAGCCCCGGGTCCCACACACCTGGGTTCCTCTGCCAGTTCTGTTATGTCTGAGGCTTATCCAAGTGTGTGGAGAGTGGCCCCAGTAAGGCCTTGATTGGGGCCTGGAGGTCTTCAGCTGTTGGGCCCTGGCGAGGATAGTCAGACACAGGGTAGGAGACTCTGCCTTGTGCTCTCCCGGGAGCTTTTTTAATAAAAAAATTCTATACATATACAAATAATAATTCCCTACTCAGTCCTCTACTACCTGACAAATACCACTCTTCTGTCTCTCTGAATTTGACTATGTACCTTATATAAGCAGGGTATACAATATTGATCCTTTTGTGACTGGCTTATCTTAACATAATATCTTTAAATCTCATCCATGTTAAATGTGTCAGAATTTCCTTCTTTCTGTGCTTGTTTTTGACTGGGGGTACACCTGGCAGTGCAGAGGTGCTATTCCTGGCTCTCTGCTTAGGAATGTCCCCTGGCTATGGTTAGGGAACCATATGTGGTGCCCGGGATCCAAACCAGGGTCTGTAGCCACATGTAAGCAAGTGCCTTCACTTCTGTGCTTCTGTGCTATCTTTCCATTCCCCAGTTTTCCTTTTTCTTTTTTTTTTTGTATCCTTCAAGCTGCTGTATCTTTCAGTTTTGTAATTCATTTGATCTTTGTAATTTTTTTTGTTTTTAATTTTAGTTAATCTTTTAAAGGGCTGTAACTGTAGCACAGCAAGTAAGGCATTTGCCTTGCACGCGGCCGGCGTGGCCGACCGGGGTTCTATTCCTCCACCCCTCTCGTAGAGGCTGGCAAGTTATTGAGAGTATCTTGCATGCACGGCAAAGCCTGGCAAGCTCCCCATGATGTATTCAATATGCCCGAAATAGTAACAAGAAGTCTCACAATTTGTTGTGAGACATTACTGGTGCCTGCTCGAGGAAATCTATGAACAACGGAAGGACAGTGCTACAGTGCTACAGACAGTGCTTCATTTTTAAGACTGAATAATTGTGGACATATATTTTGTTTATCCATTCATCTCCCAGTGGATATTTAAGTTGGAAGTAATGCTGTTATAAAATTGAATATACATTATGCTTGGATACTTGTTTCAGTTATTTTTTTGTTGTTGTCATTTGTTTTTTGGTTTTGTTCAAGGATATAACTGATGCTTCTGTGTGCAAATAGTCCTTTGAGCTATACCCCAAGCCCTGCTTTCAGTTCTTTTGATTCTATAATCAGAAGCAGAATTTCTGAATGATAGCATAAATTTATATAAAAATATTCTTTCTACCATACCTTTTTCCATAGTTACTATAACAATAAATTATGTTTTTCTTTCATTTCTTTTGTTTTTGTTTTTAGGTTGTTGCTGCTT